ACTTACTTCACAACATATCCTTACTATTTTGGTATTCAATTCAAGTTCCATCAAGCTGCCATTTCAGATAGCCCAGAAAGATAGAGCGAGACCATACCTCTGGTTTACATATTTGCCAGCATGTACTCTTTTTCTCCAGAACCTGGAAATTCCAGCAGCCTGGTTGGTTCATCCAGTTTCTCCTCAAAGACCAGCACATTTGCCTGGTTTCACAAGTTCTAGCTCTGTTTCATAAATCTAGTCTTTACAGTAGCATCATTGAAAGCTTGAGTTACCTTTCTATTCAGGTCTTTCAAGTAGGCTTTCATCTTTCTTTTATTGATTCCTATAATTTACATAGCCATAAGGACTTATTGTAGGTTTGCACCACTCAGTACTGGTTTGCATTTCTTTGTGTAACCACAAACCTTGTCCCAAAGAACAATGGCATGTAACTGTTACACAAATGCCATATGACCTGCCAGTTATGCTAGTGCAACATAGATTACAGATGTCTTATCTCAACCAATTGCAAGAGACAGTTAACTGTAACACAAAGAGAATTTTCAAATTTTCCATTAATACTAGAATTTGAACTCTGAACCTGCCACTTGGAGGTTGACAACCTAACTACTTCACTATGTCACTACACCCTACAACTAAAAACTATTATTAAAACAGTCATTATTAACTATCATTTGTTTATTTGTAATTCATTAAATTGCATTTTGATCATTCATTATAAGTCATATAACCAAGCCACTAATGCAAAAATAGAGATTTAAATTTGATTTAATGTATTGTAACCTCAGATTAAAGAAGTAAAAAAAAAAATAATAGCAAGCAAAGGTTAATAAAAGAATAGGTTAAAGAAAAAACTTTAAAAAAAAGATTAGTACTTATCTATGAATAAACTAACTAGAAAATCTAATACACCTATTTTAACTTAGCCACTATAGGTTACACAAGAATTGAAAGAAATTAGTAACAAACTTACCAATTTATCAAATAATAATATAAATTCTGTAATTTGCTAATTTTAATAATTTTAAAGAAAAGCATTTTTTTTAATTAATTAATAATATATTCTGTTGCAATTATTATTAAATTATAAAATTCTGCAGTAATATATAAATAATACTTTAAAAAACAAAATTATAACAAAAAAAATTATAATTTTATAACAATAGGCATATTTACTAATAATTTTTATTCTATTTACAAAATTTTATATAAATTTTGCACAGATTCTGCTATTGCAATACTATAAACACTTTAGTCTAAAAACAACTTTATTAAAATTAATATATATAATTAAATTAAAACAGTTCAGATAATTTAATAGTTCTGCATTATAGAATTTAATTCTCTAATGCTATTATTTAATATAAGATATTAGATTATTTCTTATTATAAAAAAGTTAATTACTCTATATAACAATTTATTATATTATTAGTTGTTTTGCATTGTAAAATTTGATTCTTTAATGCCACTATTTAATATGTATAGTAAATTAAGTAATTTTTGTTATTTAATAAATATTTATAAATATGAAATATTTTATAGAATATCTTATATTTACAGATATTCATTAAGTAATTAAATTATTTTATAGATATAATGTACAATCTATAGTCTATGTAATTAATAAACTTTTCTTTTAATAAATTAGGCTTTGTTATTTACTAAATAATTTTAAATCAGTTGCTTCTAATCTTATCAATTTATTTTTTTTCTTAACAAAAGAACAATTAAAAGAAACTATACTAATACTTTTAACAATAAAGAAATACTAGAATTGCAATAAATTTTATATGCAAAGAATACTAACAAGTGCACTTCAAAGTAGTTGCATTTTGTTAATAAATTTTGAAAAACTATTAAATATAAAAAATATATTAAACCAATTGAAATAATAGTAGAATTGGAAAATTTTATTTACTGATTTCTTATTTGGTTGAAACATTTAAATAACAAAGACTACAAAGTAAAAAGTATATACAATTATTATGCTTTTATATCTTGGTATATAAAGAAAAACAATGTAATTAAGTTATATAAATTATGAATTATTATTATTTTAAAAAAAATATTAAGAATACTTGATGCCAAAATAAAAAAAAACTTCAAAATATAAATTTAAAAAGAATAGATTAAATAACTGCATTAAGTATTAAAAAAATTGTTTAAATTCTTAACTATGAACAAATGCAAATTGATACTAATAAAAGTTTGATAAGACAAGTATTTTTTTGGTTGTCTCTTTTTTGTAATCTTTACAGTAATGATGCTAAAATAATAAACTTTAAGAATATATCACATTATAATAATAGTAAACTTTATTTGACATTTAATTATGAGAAAAATAATTAATATAAAACATTAAAATGCAATAAATATAAAAAAACCTTAGCAAAAAATTTCTATTCTATTTAATAACTCTAATAATCAATTTAAACCCATGCAAAATATATTGCATATAATATCATTATATCCTATAGGTTTTTGTATATTACTTTTTTTAAAACCTATATAACTGATAAAAGGTTTAAATTATTATAAATTTGAAATTTTTTTTCTATTATATTACTAATATTTTTTTGTATATTTTTTTTGCAAGATATTAATAAAGGAATTTGGTTCAAAAAAAACCAGATAGATATGAACAAGTTGGATACAATGATGGTAAAAATAACTAAGTTCGTAGACATTAATATTGATAATAGTTAGAAAATTAGTAACTATTTCCTATAATATACAACAATTCAAAGATTAAAAAATCTAAAAGTTTTATATAATAAACATATAGAATTTTCTGGACACTGTAGTTGAGAAAGGATTTGAACATATAGTAGTGCAAATTACAATCAAAGGCTTAAGAATACATTAATGTTAATTCCTCTAAATTTTGATAAAAAATTCAATTATTTTTTTAGAAATACTAAAATTATTTGGATTTTAAGAAGATGACTATGATGAAGGTATTTGTGAATTTTATTATTTAATTATTTATATACATATTTTTAATTAACATATTTTTGATTACTATTTATAATTATGTATAAATTAGAACTACTACTGGAAGTATCTCTAGAACTACCATCAAAAGTACCACCTGAAGTACAACCTGAAACATCTCCTGAGCTATTGCAGGAACCATCACTAAGACAAACGCCAAAACCATTACAACAAAAATCATCAAAACTATTGCATACATCAAAATGTGTTCACCATTCAAGCCACCTTTCAAAAAGTCAAATATCCAACACTCAAGTGTTTTCCAGACTTCATGAATTCTCAAGCCATCGCGTATTCCTCATCTTTCATAATTGGGACCTTCTGCACAACCAAGATCACATTTGGATGATATTTCTAATCGCATTACACCTCCACAACCAAGATCACATTTGGGTGATATTTCTAATCGCATTACACCTTTAACATTAGAGATAGTGAAAGTAAAATGAACAATAAAGAAATTCATTACCATTTCCACTACCATTTTTTTTAAAAATGTAAATTTTCGTTGTATTGAAATAAATAATGCATTATATATTTGCAATTTTAAAAGAATCGGTCTTATAAGTACTTTCGACAAGGTTATTTCATCGGTCTATATGAAAATCATGTGATTTTCATATAGACCGATGAAAATAACCTTGTCGAAAAAGCACGGGTTGTTACATAGTACCCATGGAATAAATCAACTTTGTTGCATTGTATTGCTACTGATCTTCAAATATTTCATTCTAAAGAACGTATTCATCGAAATTTACATAGTGGAAATGTTTTGCAAACTAGATTAAACAGTGCATATAACGAAGGCTCAAGGATAGAAATTGATTTGGTTTTACCATATATAGCACCAGAAATTATTTATCCAGAAGTTAAAAATAGAAAACCGCATACTAAACCATCTGATATTTATTCGTTTGGCATAATTATGTGGGAAATTTTATATGGAATGCGCTTATAACAAATTTTATGGCTCACATTTGCAAGAAAAATAATATTCGATAAATTAAAGTCACCGATTTTTGAAAAAATATTCAAAGATTTTGAAAAAACATTCAAATAACATTTTGTAGATAAAGAAATGTGTTATATTAATTTAATGAAACAGTGTTGGGATGAAGAGTCGAAAAGACGTCCATCTGTAGACAAGTCGTACAAGCTTTTACAAAATGGCAAAATAATGAACAAGTCTTATTAGAATTATGCAGGTCCAGTGAAATATTTATACAATTAATGAATCAAACAAATGAAGAGATTATTTATTAAGATGAAATTTATTCTGATGAAACTTATTCAAATAAAATTTATTCTGATTTTATAAGCGAATTAATTCTGTTTAAATCTTTTTTTTATTGATCTTATATTTCAGATTCATTTATGTAACTGAAATATTGGGTAAAATTTTTTTTAAAAGTCAAAATGCAATTGGCATAGTAAAATATTGAGTTGTTTTGTGGATTTTATTTTTTCTCGAATTTTTTAAATTACACATGACCTTATTATGATTTTATTGGCTACAATCAAAAATTCCTTGCAAAATTTTGCATTACCTAAACCTAACCTAATTAAAGATGCCGGTAAAATAAAAAGCTCTGGCATCAAATCTCAAATCATTCCCGAAAATTAATTGTCACATTGCCAATAATCAGTAATTATGGTTGCTAACAATCTATGCGATAATTAATTTTCGGGAATCTGATTTTCGAGATTTTGTGG